ATGTTCACATACACAACCTTGATTTTACCATCGATCTGCCGGTTTATACATTACCTCATCTCTTAAAATAGAAAAAAAAAAAAGAATGTTCGAGTCTGTATGAGGAATTGACCAAGGAGTGTGTAACTTGATCCAAATCTGGCCTTTAATGAAAAGTCACTAAAGCAGCAAATTAAAATCCTGGCTGCAACTAAAAGTGAAAAAAGACGCAAAGATGAGGAAAGACTAAAAGAGTTATTACAAGTTTCACAAGATGAAATAGAAAAAAAATAAAGGAACAATTAGAATCAATAAATCTGTACAAGTATAAAGGGGCCTAGTGTAAAAAAAACCTAGAACAGCGGAAGAGCCTAGTAAAGTGTTCTTAGCGATAGAAACAGAACATACAAAAGGACAAGACAATAAAAACCATAAAAGACAAAGACGGAACGGAAACGCAAAATGGTTTTAAAATCTTGGAGATAATGACGGAACACTTTAAACAATTGTATAACAAAGAACTGACAGACATAGACAGACATAGGAAAATTCATAGAAAACTGTAAGACAATAATGACGACAGAAAAATTAATTACAGACACCCCTTTGACCTTAGAGGAATTGAGGGCTGCCCTTGACACTACACAAAACGACAGACACCCCTTTGACCTTAGAGGAATTGAGGGCTGCCCTTGACACTACACAAAACGATAAAGCCCCAGGTCCGGACGGTTTGACGTACGAATTCTACAAAACTTTTTTCCCATATATAGGGCCCCTACTGCTAACACTTTATAAAGCAATGCTTGAAACAGGACAGACGCCCGCAGATTTTAATCTCGCATACATTATTTTACTACCCAAAAAAAACGAAGACAACACCACACCCAATGACTTCAGACCGATCTCCCTGCTAAACACAGACTACAAACTGCTGACCAAAATGATTTTCCTTAGAATAAAACCCCTAATCCTCCTTTTGATAGGACATGACCAACACTGCAGCAACCCGGACAAAAATATTGACGAACTTAACCACTTTATACGAGACGTAATTTACTACTGCAAAGACAAAGATTTGAAGGCAGCCCTCATGCCCATAGACCAGAAAAAAGCCTTTGACAGAGTGGACCATGGCTACCTCTTTAGGATACTAGACAAGACAAACATAGACAAGTCCCTAACCAAATACATAAAATTGGTCTACACGGATGCCACAAGTCAGTTAATTGTCAACCAATCTCTTAGTGAACGGATCCCAATTAAAAGATCGGTCAGGCAAGGGTGTCCCCTTTCCCCTTTTTTATACACCCTCTGTCTGGAAACCCTAATAGATAGCCTCAACTTAGTCCAAGAATTCATAGGTATTATTATCCCAGGGCCAAATCCCGTAGTTAAAGTCAAGGCATATGCAGACGACACTACCCTCTTCCCTTCTTCAGAAAAAGACGTTAAAATAATACTAGAGACATTCACACTTTTCGGGAGGGCGGCGGGTCCAAAATTAATACCCAGAAATCAGCCAGAATGGGGTTAGGTAGGTGGCCCCAGCTTTCCCTTTTAGGCTTAGGATAGAAAAAGAGATTAAAATCTGCGGTATCGTGTGGACCGAAAACCCGGCAATTTACATTTAAAAACAATGGGATGAAATAGCAGATAAGAAAATAATAAAAATATTTCAATACTTGGGTACAACAATTTTTGGAAGGGACATTATAGTAAACAACCTGATAGTGCCCAAAATTTTATATCTGGCCAGCAGTGTGGAACCACCTCCTAACTTCATAAACAACATATACAAAATCATTAGAAAATTTATTTTCAGAAACACATACAGTAGTATCAAACACAACGCACTAATACAAGATAAAAAAAGAAGGGGGGATAAGCCTACAAGATATCAAAACAAAACTTAAAGCACTTCGTTTAAAATTTATCGGTAGGGTAGTTAGGTGCCCTGAAAACTTCCGTTTAACCTTATACTATTTCGGTTTAAGGCTCAACAAAATTCTCCCCATCCAAAACAACACACCTCACTTTTTCGGCATCCACCCTTTTTACAGATCACTAACCAGACACCTACAAAACAATGAAAATCTAATACACCAAAAAACTAAAAACATTTACACAGCACTTTGAGATAAACTTAAGGAAAATTTAGAGCTTAGAATAAAATGGGGGAGGGAATTAGGAATAGTGTTTAATACACACACAGACACATACACGCAATTACACAATAAAAACATAACTCCGAAAGCACGGGAGGTGACCTACAGGCTAATTTATGGGATGACCCCACTAAAGAAGAGGGGTAAGGACAGGGCAGGTCACACATGTAAACTTTGCGGGGTTGAAAATAACAATCTAGAAAAACATCTGTTTGGGGAGTGTCCAAACTTCACTATTGTGAGAGAAACTCTGTCAAATATTTTAAATGCCAACAGCCATGTCAAGGTCAACATAGGCCTAGCAATATTTTTAAATAAAATACCCAAAGCAAAAAGTAAAAAACTTAAAGATATGAACTTGATTTTACTAGCAGAGTACAGGATACTTATATGGAACATGTATTTAAAAGCTACTTACGACAACAAAATCCTAAATAGAATTCAAGTAGATCATATATACAGAAGGATTATACAATGTAGGATAGAAAAGTTTTAAATAGAATATATATTTTAAAAGAAAATGTACATTAATGTAAATGAATTATTGAAATGTTAAGACTTGAAGCTGTGTATCATAATGTCATTTTTAATCCTAATGTTTTGGATAAAATTTAGAGAAATATAGTTGATTTTAAAATTAAACACTATAAAGGCTGTTCCCAAATGTATTTTTATATTGAACCATTGTATTAACATGTTTCTTTCAATGAATTTGAAAATTCCATTTGTATCATAAATATCAATTTACAACAATCTGTTTAAACAACGAAGAAAATATGTTGAATGTATGTGTGTGTGTTTGTATAAGTGATAACTATTTACCAATTTGCATGTATATGTATTAAATATATTATTGATTTGCTTTAAAATTACAATACTTAAATTACCTATTATTTTCTTTTTCAACAAGAGAGACAATTTAGGACTGGAAGATGCAATGTGGAAATTTCTTTTGGTTATATCCCTTTGACCAACAAAAAAATTTCAAGACAACCCCCCCCCCCCTCCCCCCCAAACAGGACACGAATTCATGATAATGAACCAAATGGACTTGGAATTTGGTAAAAAAAAAACACCATCTCAATATGGACAAGATTGATTTCGAACATGTGTTGTAACTAATAAATTTATTCTGAAAATGAGTTATATTCAAAATTGTAATAATTTGTAAGCTCTTCATGCACATACTTACTTTGTACATTTTTGTAACTCTAGCAGACCCCAGAGAATTCCCAATGATATAGGATGGAGGTCTTTTGTCTTAGGTTCTTAAGGGAAAAATTGTTGCAATAATAATAATAATAATAATAATGAATTTAAATAACTCATAAGTCTTTAAAAAAAAAAAAAAAGTCCTCATTTTATAGACCTTTGTTGTCATCATTCTATGGAACGTTGCTGTCATTATTTTATGGACTGTTGATGTCATCATTGTATGGACCTGTGCTGTCATCATTTTATGGACCTTTGCTGTCATCATTGTATGGACCTGTGCTGTTATCATATTGTGGACCTTTGCTGTCCTCATTTTGTTGACCTTTGCTGTCATCATTTTATGGACCGCTGAAGTCATCACTTTATGGACCTTTGCTGTCAGCATTTTATGGACCGCTGACGTCATCATTTTATGGCCCTTTGCTGCAGCATACTCCATGATCATGCTGGAAATCCTGGAATGTGCTTTTGAAGCTATTTTCCTCATAAAAATGTTGTTGTTATGAAATATTCTTTGTATTATTACTAATATAAATTAATATGTTATGTTTTCTTTAAAAAGTCTACTCGATGTCCATGATGAAAATCATGAATTGTGCTTTTGAAACTATGCCTTCACAAAATTTTGTTTTTATTAAATATTCTTTGTATTATTATTGATATAAAATAATATATTATGTCTTTTCTTTTGAATAAAATCTTATATTGTTAAAAAAAAAAAAAGGGGGGGGGGGGCCTAAAAAAGAGGCTAAAGCCCAGAAAAGAGGTGCATGAAATACCCAAAAAAGAGGTAAAGAAAAGAGGCAAAAGCCCAAGGATTCCTAGGATGTAAACAGCTCGACAACTGAAGTCAAAAGCTAAAAGAGCTCGGAAGTATCCTAAAAGAAAGAAGAAGGGAAAAAAAAAAAAAAAAAGGACTTCAGAAAAGAATTGTGATGATCGTGGAACATGACTTTATGTGAGTTAAATTCCACAAAGGGAGAGAGTTAACGACACTCTTCTCTTCACCCTGATCCTACTAGATGATCACCTGACATAACCAAATAAATGATTGGGAACAGACAGGATTGCCACCTTGATGATGCGGAAGTAGTTTTCCAAATTTCAAGGGAGGAAATCAAAAATTGTCATATGAAGGGGGACAACAAAAGAAACAATATAAATATTTAAATTCCTATGTTCGCATAAGTGTGTACACACATAGATGTGTACGCAGGTTTGATAGAAGTTAATATAAAGAACTGGGGTAATGTAGCAAAGCACAAAGGAAACAACCATAAGCAATGTAGACAATGTGGGAAAAAATGTGACTACAATGTTTAAAATGTTTTAATATCATTTAAGTTTCTACTTTCACTCTTTGATATATTTCTATTTAATTACCTATTGTAGACATTCTCACCACATATATATTTAAGAACCTTAAATTTCAAAAATATTCATTATATGCAATTGGAAAAAAAAATAATGCCATATACAAAGCAATTTAAAACGTTAAAATAATATGACAACCTAAATGTAACTATTTGCATTGCTATGTTTTGCAATCATGTATTTTCAAATGTAACTACTTAATTTGTACGCTTACTAATAAAATAGGCATCTTTTGGTTTTAAAAAAAAAAAAAAAAAAAAAGCCCAATAAAGAGGCCAATAGCCCAAAAAAAGAGGCAAAGAAAAGAGACAAAGGCCCAAGGATTCCTAGGATGTAAACAGCTCGACAACTGAAGTCAAAAGCTAAAAAGCTGTGAGGTATACTAAAAATATAAAAAAAATTTTTAAAAATAAAAAAAACTCACACAAAGTACAACGGACACAGTAACACAACAAGATTTATATTGACTTCTTTAATTTCCTTTTCATTTCTTGAACCCATTATAAAAAAGTGCAATACACAGTTAAATACATTTTAAAAAAAAGGAATCTCCCAGAACTATATGTCAATAACAAACACACCCAAAAATCATCTATAGTCTGTTTTAAGGCAGGCCTGTCCCTATGATATGGTCTATCACTTCTGAAGAAATTCTGCTAACAAATTTTTCATAAGTTTATGAATGAATAGTGTATCGTAATTATAATGTGTCTATTTGACCAGTTTCTTAAAGTAATTGAATGTAAATTGTTAGCTAAATGTTGACTTCTTAATGGAGTGACTAAGTGTAATAAAATTTAATGACATTGAAATATAATTCTATAACACTTTTATGAAATTTGAAAGAGTTAAGAAACAAACATGCTTATGAAATGCATCATGACATGTTGATAATATTTATATGACAAAGGGATACTCCTCTTCTACTAATCAATAAGGCTGATAATTAAGTTATTACATCTGAAATTATCAAAGCATATTTTAAGATCAATCTGATAGACCCAAGTGATTATTAAAAATCGCCCCAAAAGATTTAAAAGAAAAAAAAAACTAGTTTAATCAGCGCTGCCTCTACACATAAAATAATAAAAATTGTCTACACTTAGTGATAAAAATATTTTTTTTAGTAGTTAAGGCCCTTGAATGGCTATTTTTTTTTAAATGTCATCAGCAACGACTGAGAAGCAAGGTGAAACAATGCCATTCCTCCAGTAATTATCTAACTCAAAAACAAGCCTTACAAAGACATAGAGATAGAGATAGATGGAAAAACTAGTCCAAACAAAAAGATTTTGAGTTTTATTAAGACTCATGTTTTGCTGTAGCGTGACACAATTACACACAGGATGATATACAGCACAACTAGGAGAGTGGTGGGTGCCCAGCTTGACAAGGTCATAGAAGCAAGAACTAATTCAAGTTTTTGCTTCCATAAAATTCTAGGTCAGTGCAACATTTCAGGTCAATGATTAAGTTATTATGTACATTATATACAATACATGGTAAATGGATATAAAGTTCAAATGTGGGATCATTCAAATGACTTTGGGAGTAAAACTTATCACATGATAAAAGATAAAAATATGAACATATTATTCCAACTAACTATATCTATATATATATATATATATATATATAGTATAGTATAAACCTACTCATGGCAGGAAAAAAAGCTGAATGTTTTCCACCTCCGATGCCTAAGGCGGATCTTGAAAATAAGGTGGCAAGATAAGATAACCAATGAGGAAGTGCTACAAAGAGCAGGGTGCCAGGTAATCCACTCTGTTATCAGCAGCAGACGCCTTGGCTGGCTTGGCCACGTTCGTAGAATGCCAGTAGGTCGACTTTCACAGGACATCCTGTATGGCGATCTAATAGAAGGCAGGAGAGCCGCTGGTCGCCCACTTTTACGTTATACGGATGTATGCAAACGCGACATGAAGCTCTTCAAAATCGACACTGGCAACTGGGAAGAGGTGGCACTGGACAGATCCTCATGGAGAGAGAGCATAAAGGAAGGGTCAAAGATTGCAGATGTCATACACAACAGAAGCAGAAAGAAGGGTGAAAATGCAACGTCGCCTGGTGATTATATATGCCCAACCTGCGATCGCAGCTGTGTATCAAGGATTGGCCTCTTTAGTCACACAAGAAGTTGCAAAGGGAAAAGATCGTCTCTTGAGACGTAAAATGCCACAGATATATATGTATATGTGTGTGTGTTGCGGTGGCTTTTGAATCATAGAGTCAAGGAATCGAAGACTGGGATTTTTAATTTCGGGATATTTGGGGTGCCTTTGAGTCCACCAAGCTCTAATGGGTACCAGACATTAGTTGGGGGAAAGTAAAGATGGTTGGTCGTTGTGATGGCCCCATGACACCCTCGTTAAAAGTAGGACACAGAAACAGATGATCTTTACTGTATATATAAATATATATATGTATAACTTAAATTTATATATATAGTAATAAATTATGTGACTGAATGTTCAACACATATCCTAGCACTGAAACTGAGAAAACAAAAGCTAATATTTTCATTTATAATTTCATATGATTATTGTTCATCAGACAATTGTCATCTAATCAACGTCAATCAGCTAAAAAATAAAAATAGGTGCAGGATTTAATACATGTGTAATAAAATGTATTCCTCTGTATAGGACAAAAAAAAGTTTTACTGGGTTAATGCCAAAGTTAAAAACACAAAAATTATCGAAAACAACATACCTACAAACTGTAACACAAAAACAGAGCAACATATGACAACAAAACTTGTTCGTAAAATAAAAAACACAGTCATGTATTGAACAGCTGATAACAAAAAAAACAAAAACAACCTCCATAAGTTTTGTAAAAGACAATGACAACTCTTTTAATCTTAACAGCTGATTTTTAAAAATGCAAATATCTGACACCGATAAAACTAATAAGAATTTTTGTATAATAAAGCTAATGATTAAAGTGAAGTAGAATGGTGTTTTTACGAAACTTTGAACAGGGATGTATAAACAAATGTGGACTAGATACAGTCAGATCTGAACATAAAACATAGGAATTCTTAACTCATGAGACACTCTTCCAGCAGAGCAATGGGTTGACGTCTCATTTCATAATCCTGATCTAATAAACCAGTATCAGACTTTGGTGGCCAACACTATATCCTAAAACAAAACTATATCCCACACAACAGTTTGTGACAACATTGGTGACAGTGAGTGACCTCTATCAGATCAAACTTTCCATGTCAAGGAAGCTTAATCTACACAGTGTCAATGGATTTTGATTTCAGAAGAAAAAAACAACAACTTGTAAATGTTTCATTTGGTCCATATGTCAACTCTCACACTCTAATTGGAGTTACATCTACTCAATGTCAAGGGAGTTAAATCTACACATAAACAATTTCCAAGCTTTAAGAAAAAAAAATACTATAGCACTACAGTGCGAGGTCATAGATAGATCTTTATATCTTCAGTGTTCTCATCATGTCAACCTATTTTGTTTTCAAAGGTTTGTTACAAAATATTACTTGACACAATCATGTTCTTGTCTTGTCATGTCAGGCGTGTACTGAGTCATTGTAGTTAGCAATTCAGAGAACCAAGAGTCCAAAATGATTAAGCATGTATCTGACAGTTTAGTAAACATAAGTTGGGGTTGTTGTCCAAACACACTCCAGTCTCATAATCCTTGACCACAAGCAGCAATGGGTGCAATCTGATTAAACTGCTTACGGTATGTTATGGGACATATCTATGGAACCTACCTATTTAATATCTAATAGAAACCATAAATCCCACTTCAATTTACCTAGTGCAAAGTAAATATAACAGATCCTAAAACATTTATTTCATTTACAGAATAGGTGCAATCAGATTTAATGGCTTGCATTATGTTATAGACCTACCTATTTAATATCTAATAGAAACCATAAATCCCACTTCAATTTACCTAGTGCAAAGTAAATATAACAGATCCTAAAACATTTATTTCATTTACAGAATAGGTGCAATCAGATTTAATGGCTTGCATTATGTTATAGACCTACCTATTTAATATCTAATAGAAACCATAAATCCCACTTCAATTTACCTAGTGCAAAGTAAATATAACAGATCCTAAAACATTTATTTCATTTACAGAATAGGTGCAATCAGATTTAATGGCTTGCATTATGTTATACACCTACCTATTTAATATCTAATAGAAACCATAAATCCCACTTCAATTTACCAAGTGCAAAGTAAATATAACAGATCCTAAAACATCTACTTGATCTACAAAGCAACATGAAGAAAGAGACTCCCCTTCCAAATACAATATGACAAACATTTTGTGATACCATATTATTTACAAGGCAATTTTATATTTCTCCCGCAATGTCAAACAATAACATCCAATTTCATATACATTGAAATAAATTAATATTTGATTAACTTTTGATATTGCAAATTTGTGATCAAATCTCGGTGAAAAATCACTATAACATAGGGTTTAACATTTTGGTGTAGCTGTTAGAGGTCTTACGACAAGCCCAACTCGGTGTCCGGAAAAAAAACATAAGTTACTATGCAAGAAAACAACAAGTTGAAACTTTAAATTTTCATTATCAACATCAGACGATGCTATAGCTGCAATGGTACACAGTCATAACATTGTCTTTTTGAAATGAACTGTGAGCTGACTCATTTCATCTTTCTCTGCTGTCAGTATCTGAATGTGGCAGCTTGAAGACAATTAACTTTGAATCCTTTCCACAATACTCCACAGTTATGTCACTAGCATAGGGTGGTTAAAGAATCAATTTTCGCAGTAATGATATGTATTAACACCTTTACTTCATTGATTCCTTTGACTATCAAGTTTACACTCCTGGAACTTTTCCCACGTAGCTGATCGCTGCCATTTTTCTGGGACGGGGTCGTTTCCTCTTTGGCCTGGACTTTGTCCTGTAATACTGGTTGAACAGAAACAAGGCCACTAGGCACGTGGCCAGGAAAGCGATCACGGGGAACCAGGTCAGCCTGTCCTGGCTTAACAAGGGACTGGCTATAGGTGACTGGATGTCTAGGGTGTTATGTTCTCTCAGAGCTGAGAATCCTAAGTCTGGACGGTTGGCTGGGTTGAGAGGGATGTCAATGTCAATGGATAACAACCTCTGAGGTTGGTAGATGTCACTGAAACAAAGAAAGTGATCACAATGATTTTCAGAATATAATAGTCTCCCTTTTTACTGGCTAATAGTGAATACTGGTCTAGTTTGTAAGTTATCTTCTCTTAGTGTTGCAGTTAGACTGAATTTATTCTGATATTATTGCTTTATAGCTGAATTGATTCTTAGTTCATTGCTTTATAGCTGAATTTATTCTGAGTTCATTGCTTTATAACTGAATTTATTGCTTTATGGATGGCTCCCTGGTCGTGCTGTTTGCACGCTGGAGTGTCATTTGGATTTACTGATGGTCCCGGGTTCAAACACTGCCTGCTCCCATCCCCCGTCGTCCTGCAGGAGGTTTGGACTAGGAAGTAAACTATCTTCAACTGTGAAGGAACATCGGAAACATGTAAAACATTTTATAACTGAATTTATTCTGAGTTCATTGCTTTATAACTGAATTGATTCTGAGTTCATTGCTTTATATCTGAATTGACTCTTGAGTTAATTGCTTTATAACTGAATTGACTCTGAGTTAATTGCTTTACCCACTTGTCTAAAAGTATCCTTAAGTCTCATTTACTCAGTAACAGCTTTAAATTCTGCTCAAATCTAATTCTACTATACATGTACATTTACGCACAGTGGCTGAGTGGTAAAGCACTTGGATCAAGGATTCAAATCCTGGTGAAGACCTGAGATTTTTGGGCTCCTCTGAGTCCAACCAGTTGTAAGGGGTACCTGACATTAGTTGGGGAAAGTACAACGGTTGGTCATTGTGCTGGCCACATGACACCATTGTTAACACTGGGCCAAAGACACAGTTGACCTTTACATCATCTGCCCTATAGATCACAAGGGGAACTTTGTAACTTTGACACATGAACATTGCACACAACCACATGGGTTTTGTTTAGGGTTATTTCAAGAGAACGCCTCTCACATGAAGTTTGATGACCATGATTCCTACTTTATTTGAAAGGGCTGGGAAGGGTGGTAAGGTCGAATATCAGTTGTAAGATGTGAAGTGGGTCAACTGTTTTATGGACTTCACTTGCTTGAGTCACAGTTTTGAGGGCATTGCTTTTGATCTGGAAACAAGAGTTCATTGCACTAATCTAGCCACTGATAGAAAATTTGATCAATATATATTTGTAGCCATAATTAAAGTTTACCACATTTTCCCTTTGTAAGTGGTCAGTGAAAAAATGTCTGATCCAATGCACGACTATCACTGTAGCTTAAACTGTTCTTTTTACAGAGTTCTACGTCTAGCAAAAATAAAATCAATTCACATACTTAATTTAAAAAAAAATAAAGAGTCTTACGATGGTGCAGACTTGTTCAGAGGATGGGGCATTGCCCAAATGAGGCTTGGGCATTGGGGCAGAGGGCGAGAATGAAAAGAGCTGAGGCTTCCCTCAATGACTTTAGAGTAGCGATGAAGGTGATTGCCTGTAGAATGAAGTGTCAGTGACA